ATCCGCTCATATTCTGGGCTCGCTATCTCCGCTCCTCTCGCCGTAAAACACCGGTCTCTGCGGTTTTATGGGCTCCCTCCTCGGCCCTGGACTCCTGGAGCAGTTTATGACCACCGCCGTCCAAAGATATGACACCCAAACACTGCAGACAGACCAGGGACGCGCTGAAGGATGCCCCATTCTGAACGGGCACAGCGCTCAGCAAAAAGGGGTAAATGATAGACCGACGGAGCTGGGCACTTGATCACTTTGTGGACTGGTCAACAAATACAACACAACACTACGGCGCTATGAAATGGGCCTGGAAAAAGTGCCTATAGTGGGAAATGGGAAAGTGTATATAATAGGCTAAGGGCCCTGTACTATATTTTCTCCAGTGTGTTTCAGCAAAAAGTGTCTTACCCCAGAGCAGATTTACTAGTGTTATATAAGCAACTCTTGTGTAATTGGAAAGAGGTTTATTCTCCAGTGATCAGGAAGTGCACATCAGCATGCTAGTTGGTGTTCTCTTTACATCACGACCAAATCCTGCGTTGGTCTCAGCTGATCACAATCACTACTTTATAGGAGTGTAACGGTACAATAATCACGGTTTGATATGCATCTCGGTTTTGACGTCACGGTTTGGTTCATTTTTGGTGCAGAATGGAAACAAAATGCAGAACCATTTGCTTGTTGTTTATTTGCGTTTTTTATTAAGCCAACGATTTGTTTTACCATTATACTAACGGGAAAATAACATAAATGCAAAGTGCTGCTTGGTAATACTAATAAGTTCAATAAAATATTCTCAAATAAGCAACAAATGTTTGAAATATTATAAAAAATAAATTCCTTGTAAACAGTAAACAAAAAAAGTAAAGCGCAATGTTACTAAATTTTTTAACTAAGCCCTGATGAAAACCAAGTTGGTCGAAACATGTTGGCTTTGGCCATTTAAATAAAGGCCTTTTAAGTATATTTTTTACTTCTTTGGAGTGCCCGGAGTCTGTTGTGTTTGAAGTTTTGATCCTTTTTCCAAGAGCACCCTCTACCTGCTCCCGCTAATTGGAACATCTGCAGCAAACAGCCACATTTTTGGTCAGAAAAAACAACTTGTTGACATTCTCTGCAGTAAGTACAGATCTGCTGCAGTTACAATGTCCCCAGCAGTTGAAAATACACACTTTCACCTCAGACGGAGCTCACAGGTATGGACGGGGGTGGAGTTTCCCCTGGAAGCGAAAGGCGAAAGTAAGGACTGTAGCGCGATGACCGTAGTTTTGAGAGGATTCACGCAATTTCGAGGGATATAGTCAAAGCGGGGGGCAATTGTTGTCAAGGTGGTCGCTCTAACTATAAAACGCCGCGGGAAACACTGGCCCGATCACAGACGAGTTCCCTTGTGAATGTTAGAGCCAAACCTCCATGTAGCTTCACATGTAGTGGTGGAGTGTCAACACACACAAATTTGGCAAACTCAGTCATGCACAGCGCTGCACTGAACCGAACGCCCATATCGAAACGGTTCGGCACGAATACATGTACTGTTACACCTCTGCTACTTGGGCAAGAGCCTTTTGTGCTTCATTAATCTCGTCACATTTGCGATCTGCAGAGAACACATTTGTGACGTGTCGGAATAGCGATACTAAAAATAATATCGGCACGTCTAAATAGAGACATGTTGTAATGTAATGTAATGGGCAGCGGATCCCGGCTCTACATATTATGAAAAAACTCACTTTTTTTTTTATTTAAGATGACAGAAAAATTATTGTAGACAGGCTGAAAAATTAACCATAAACCAAGTTAAAACATCTACAAGTGAAACTATTTCTAACTAGTTAAACACATTCTGACTAAACTAAGAATTGTAGAATGTTCTGACAGCCTATTTGTGGTTCTTGTTTATTTAAGGATCCTCATTAGTCTCTGCAATTGCACAAACTACTCTTCCTGGGGTCCACTCTCACAATAAAATCACACAAAAACACACAATATTCAATACTTAACACCAACTTCTATCATGAGGGGGATCTGCAGAAAACACATACATCAGTTAATCACGGGTTGAGTTCTTGAGATGTTTTATGGTAAAGAGAAGCTGCACTTGGTTAGAAATTGAACCAAAAATCCAGTGACTATTTCCTAATGTGGCCAAGGTTTTACTAGTAAGTGACAGCATTCCCATTTTACACATGCAAATTACTAAAATGCACAACTTCATACTTTTTCAAACTTCAAAATTCAAACTTAGCTTATCTTTGGACCAAGTAAATGCAAAAAAGTCTCACTATTTCTACCGGCAGAGTTAGTAATAATGTTTAGTATTCATATGGCATTCACGGTCCACTGAGCTGAACCCAGATGTTTGTCTCTCAGAGCAGTCGTGACTTTTTATGTTGTGAGCAGCAGTTATCAGCTTTATGACCTCAGACCTGAGACCGCACACTGTAAGAACGTCCACATGTACCAACTCTAACGTGAAAACCTCAATCTTAAAGGTCCTGTACAAGACAAAATGGAGTTTGTGAGCTTTAACTCTTTCCCCCATGAAGACGACATTTGACGACCCCCCCCCCCCCCGAACCTTTAATGACGACTTTTGACTCCTCCGCTGTATCACTAAAGACGAGATTTGACGACCTTTAGAAATGGCTCGGTTTTTCACATTTAAACAGAGACTGTGATCGGTCGGGGCCACTACAACCCACACTAGACTGACCAATAGGATTCAAGGATATGTTTTCGCCGATTTTTTCCGAAGTTAATCGAAATAGTGACGATGGTAGCTTCCGGAAAAAACACAACACGAAACACGTGCAATGGAAAGATCGCGCTGCGGCGCACAGTTTTAGAAATAATGAGGAGCGGACGTATTTTATGGATAAGTTTAGAGAAAGTGACTTTTATAGATTTCAAAGTGATGATGTTGAAGTTGATTATAAAGTGGTAAAACAGCGACAGCGACGGACTTTCGGGGAGAAGGTGAGATGCCGCTGATGCGTCTGTGTGGAGCCCTGCGATGTCCCAACAAACTATCTGAGCTTTATACTCGATTATGAACCAAAATTGCCCTGAAATCTGGATGTTGCCCAGGCCAGTCCTTTAAAATATTTCAGTCTTTTTTTCCAAGATGCGATGTATAACAGAATCGCTACAGAAAAAAACACTTATGTGGAGCTCTGCACATGAGAAAACAACCAAGATGACAAATACTGGACACACACTGACGGGGAAGAGTTTTATTATTATATTATTATATTATAATAAGCTAAATGAGTTGAATAAGCTAAATGAGTTGAATAAATAAAATAAGTTGAATAAGCTAAATGAGTTGAATAAGTTAAATGGAAAAAAATGAACTGGGTGCACACAGGTGAACAACAGGTAAAAACAGGTGCACACTTGTCTCTACTGTATCTGCTGATATGAAATCTGTTTAAATACTTTGACAAAGTATATTTTTTATTTTTTTATGAATATAGTACTCAGAACATGCAGATATCAGATGCTGAATGTAGTTTTTTTTTTATAATCACTCGTGGAAGTCTGTTTTCTTTTATGCAGTTATGCTCTATGGGTGTAGCCCTAGTAACATATGTATGGGTTGTTCCTAGTAGGCGTCCAGGGGGGAAAGAGTTAAGGCATGTTTTAATGTTGTCACCTCATCCAAAACAGACCTGGAGTTGTGTTTTGTTTCGTTCACATGTTTGAGTGACTCTTTATTATTAGTCTGTCTGCATCTCCAAAGCTCAAAATGCTCTGTTCCACCTTGCGATGTCATGTAGTGGTAGTTTTTAATTTAGCAGCTGCTTTTACCTTTAGTTTAATAGAAATTCCAGGACTGAAACTCTCCAAATGATTTTAATGAAGGTGCATGGAGTTTAAAAACGCAGTGGAGCACTTCCTGTAATACCACATGACATCATAAGGTGGAACAGAGTGTTTTCTGTTTGAGATCTAAATATGCAGAGTTTGTGTGTTAAACATGTGAAAGAAACAAAACAAAACTCCAAGTCTGCTTGACTCACGATTGAAACCAGAAAGTACCCCTGTCTAGTGCTGTTTTTTTTTTGTTTTTTTTGTCAAAGTCTCCTTTAAATTCAGGGCAGTCTTTAAAGTTGAACTGATCTTCCCTTAGTAAACTGTGTATATGTGTATATGGTGTGTTAATACCATTATCTACTGTTCCTAATAGACTGTGTTCACGTTACATCACAAACCAGGAAGACATTTGGAGAGACGCGATTACAACTACCGGTGGGCTCAGTTTTCTTCATCTCCATGTCATTGTAGTGTTCCGTTATGTTCAACTAATCAACAATTACAACCACACCTCAGTTTTCCTCATTTTCCCACTGACACACAACTCCGAGTGCACTGGGTACATGCGATTAGAAGAGACGAGGCACCAAATTCAAGATGATTCCAAACAGTACATACGTCTGCAGTTTTCATTTTACCACTGATCACATTTACTTCAGTGGGTTTGATCACAGTCGGTCGGTGAGCCCAGTGTCAGGAAGTACATCGGAAGCTGTTGTAACAAGTGGTTGCTTATTACTTAGGTAATAAAAGTGTAACGAATATGAAATGATTGTAACTGTAATAACCATGTAGTAACTGTGTTATGATCATGTAATAACTGTTATGACTATTATGTGTAATTAGCAAAGTTGAATGATCAGAAGATTCTAAGTAAGGCTACTGGAGGGCAGGGGCAGTAAATTGAGACATGGGATTTGTTGAAAATGAATAAAGTGTATTATACAGGAAGAAAGTGAGACAACAAAATATACAACAGCTGCAGCAACAAAAATCAAACAATTCAGTTAAATGTCCTTGCGAACTGGGTCTGGTTGCCCAGGGTGTGAACAGAGTCCAAACTACTTTAAAGTCCAGTATGAATTATTTTGAGGTTGTATGATGTCCATAAAGCGTGGTTGATTGAATAGTTATGTAGTGGAGGTAGCTGGAGTAGGTGGGAGAGAGGACAGGCGATTAGCCTCCTACCAGACCGAAGCTCTCAAAAGGACAGTTCCTAGCTCGCCATCAATTTGAACCCAAGTTTGGGCACCTGGCCTGTGTGCACATTAACAAAAGGCCTCTTAGAACATGTTTAGCGTTAACATTGACATTAACATTACAAGAGTTCATAAGTCAGTCACAAGATACAACTAATAACATGGACATATGATACATAGAGCAAGACATAGGGCATATGACAAAATGGCTAACCTTAGCATTAGCATGCTAGCTCTAGCATTAGTACTAGCATACAAAGTCACAAGAACAAAAGCCATTAAATAAATCAATAAACAGGGTTCACTTCTAACTTACCAGTTCAGTAGTGTTTTAGTGTATTGAAAGCACACGTGACAATGTTGCATACCGGGTCTGGTTCTAAAAGATGTGAATGGTGAAGTTAAAAATGGGAACATGAGAATTTGAAATGAAACAGTGCATATGTACTGACCTTCAAGCTCTGTCCCCTGGCTCCTCTCCCACACAACTGAGGAGAGAGAAGTCAGGGGACCTTATATACTCTGATTGGGGATGTGTGATTGGATAATTGGTGAAATGGGCGGTGTGATGGGTGGTAACAAATCATGTGGAGAGGGGAAAACCTGGGTTGGATCTGGATAAGGGAATTGAACTTTACCCTGGTTACACTGTCATCACATGTTTCCAAACATCTTCCTGGTTTGTGACGTAAGCGTGAATAGAGTCTATTTAGCAGTAGAGTTGCTAAACTGGGCGGTGTCTGTGGACCAAAGGGGAGAGGAGGAGGGTCTAGACATACAAGGAACAGCGTGATTGGTCTAACAGGTATCCACACATTCAAACTCTGCAGTGTTTGTACCAGAAACGCCTGGCTGTAATCAGGGCACTACTGTGTGATGTCACGTTGTACTGGAAATCGCAGTGGTCCCTGGAGGGAGCAAACACTCAGTTTCTGACTTAATTTTGACCAGAAATCTGCAAATGCATCACCATTCATCAGTTGGTTTCATTTTGTGGAAACTGTCTGACTTTGCAGCATTAGGATTCGTTCGTTCGACGTTTTTTATTTTATTTAACCAATCGCTGCTATTTGGTCATGACGTATGTAATGCGCCACTAACGGGGATAACTGGTATATTAAGCTTTTCCTAAATCCCGTAAGAAGAAGGACAATAACGTCTTTCCCCTGGATAAAATTCACCAAACATTCTCTTTAATCCGGCTTTAAATCCTCGATTTCGGGAAACGTTGCCAACACTGAATATATGGCTCTTCACTGATTGGCTGGTGCCCGAACTCGCACTTCCGGGGTTTTTGGAACCGTCAAGTGTATTCCAATTCTTGACCTAGTCACTGGAGAGAAATTAAATTGAGTGGAGACACTAGGTGGCGCCAGCCCGGCTAGCAAATGTACCCACTTTGCTCAAAAAAATCCCAAACGACTAAACAATGCAATGAAAACACATTTTTAGCAGCAAAAAAAAGTAGATTTAGTGCTTTGTTCCACTTTAAAATGTACTAGTTCTGTTTTTCACATTTATAAGACCATAAAAATCAGGTGCAGCTCCTTTAACCTTACCTCAAACGATACAAAACACTGCCCTGCCAATGCCATTTCTAAACAGTCAAATTCACCACCCATGTCCTCGAATATGACAGCCCATAATTTCAGCTCTAACCACATTATATTTCCTGTTGGTGTGCGTTCCCTTTGTTTCCACGTGAACACGGCGCCCCTGCAGCTCCACGCCACGGCGCCCTGGTGTCTATTTCACACTTAATTAATTTGCTCTAACTAAACATCTCCAACCTGTTGTGGTGGGGAGGGCGCTCCACTGCCACATCTCCTCACGGCAAAAGACAAGAGAAGGAGAAAAGGAGAAACGAAGAAGGGAAAAATAGGGATTAATTATTGTTTTAGCTGATTGGCTTATGTTTATTTTTATTGTTTTTATTGGTTCATAAAACTTTTGGTTGTAAGATTATTAAAAGACTTACTGTACATCGCACTGTTTTCTGATGTTATAATGTTGTTTCCTTGTTAAAAATATGTCTAGAGTTGTGTTTTGTTTCATTCACAGATGTCTTACACACAAATTCTGCATATTTAGTTTTTCTTACAAAAAGAAAACATGTGGTAATACAGGAAGTGCTCCATTGTGTTTTTAAACTCCATACACCTTCACTAGAATCATTTAGGCTATATTCAGACTGCAGCCTGAAGTGACCCAAATCTGATTTTTTGGCTTCTATGTGACCTGTATCTGATCTTTTAATGACAGTCTGAACGACACAGATCCGATTTTTTCAAATGCGACCCAGGACACTTGGATATGTGCTCCTGAAACCGATACATATCTGATCTTTTGACATGCGACTTCAGTCTGAACGGCCAAAGCGCATTCATCCACCTACACGTTATCAACAAGACACAAACGTCACTATTCTGCGCTGAAGTAGGTGAAAATTGTTAATGAACTCTGTGTCACTGAAGCGAAGCACATCACCACTCAACACTCATGTCTCCCGTGCACATGCGGGACACTTTTGGGCCGTTTAACGTTCACACTGGAGTCACATACAAGTCACATTTAATTGGAAACGTGAACGACCTCGCAAAAACATCGGATTTCACAAAAAAATCTGAATTGAGCGTTAAGCCCTGCAGTCTGAACGTACCAGACAAAAAATGTGTAATGAAGAAGAAAAAAGAAGACCAGAAACCAAGAAAGTCAAGTTCTAGTAATAATAATAGAACAGAGAACAACAGACTGTTAACATATGAACAGTTCTTCAGATAAATATAACATAAACAACAGAACATGACAAGTTTACCAAACTCTCCATCTCGGTGTCACCTCGGAGCAACTCCATGACCTCCGGAGATAAACAGAGCGCCGCTTCCTCTTCGTCAGACAAGTGTCCTGGGTCGCATTTGAAATATCGGATCCGTGTCATTAAAAGATCAGATACAGGAGCATGGGGCCAAAAAAAATCGGATTTGAGGTCACTTCAGGCTGCAGTCTGAACGTAGCCTTAGAGTCCAAAAAACACGGTATATCGTATGCCTTTCTTTACTCCATTCTCATCCCGCAACCAGAATATATATACAGCAGAATCAGTTGTTTGTTTAATGCCATATTAACACTCCAGGCAAAGCAATAACATCTCCATGACGATAAACAGGTCCATGTAAATCCAAATCCCACTTTTATTCTCTGGCTGTTAACTCTACATGATGTGTGGTCCTTTGTGTCTTGTAGTTTATTTATTTATTTTACGTATTTACTGCTATTTTATGGATTTTGCTTTTATTTGATTTGACTGTTTTTTTATTGTTTTAGGACTGGTATGACCACATTTGAGCAGCTTTACCTTTTTGTTGTCTTCGTTTTACGATGTTTGGAAGCGGCTTTGTTCGTAAAATGCGCTGTATAAATAAAGTGGATTTGGATTTGAGGTGCAGGTCGGTCGCCAACCCTCCACCAGAGAAGCTTCGTTTAAATTTCAGTTTAATTTCACCTCATAGAGATTTCTTTTTCTTTTTTTTAACAGTGCTCCCTCCCTCTCTCCTCTTTAAGGTTGGCTGAAATCTCGTCTTAGCCGGTGTCCTCATGGTCCCTGCTTAGCGCCGGAGCAGAGGAGGGGGGGTTTATAATATCCTCGCGATGCTATCTCCGTTATTACATGGCTCTCCGCTGGATAAACACGTCAATGCGAGAGAGGCCTTGTATCTGGGAGCGCAGACCGGCGGCGTTATGATCATCAGAACGGCCCGTGCTGTTAAGTGCTCGCGAAGAGACGGGAGAAAAGATGCACATTAGGTGAGAGACGGGGGGGTGAGGGCGGACGTTTTAGTTTAGATCCGAGCTGACGTGGAGTGGTACGGAGAACGGGGGTGAGGGACGGATTAGAAAAGGCAGAGAAAATGCTGTGATGAGTTTGGACGGACGATTTAAAGGGCACATATTACGCTGGTTTCTGAGCTGTTATAATGTTGTTTCCTCGTCGCAAAAAGACCTGGAGTTGTGTTTTGTTTCATTCTAACATGTTTATCACACAAATCCTGTTCTTCTCTCAACCTGAAAACTCTTTGTTCCACATTTGGATGATTTCAGTCCTGGAATTGACCTTTTTTACAACAGTCGGAAGTGTCGCGATGTAGGGTAAACGTAACTCCTCTATGGCAAAATGTGTGTTGAAATGTCTCAAATATTCTCCACCAGCTTTATAAATCTGCCCCATCACCAAATGTTCAACCAACAAGGTCCACAAAGGATAAACATTCTACCATGAAGAATTTATCCACAACCATCGAGGTAAGAAAGACAAAAAGTTAAAGGAGAACAACGACAATGAGGCATTAGTGAACTACTGAGTAAAACTAACGTTAGGGTCATGAATACCGTATTTTTTGGACTATAAGTCGCACTTTTTTTCATGGTTTGGGTGTTTCCTGCGACTTATATATTAAATTTTTCAGACTGACAGCCGTGAGAGGGTCTAGTCTTGTGTGTCAACCACTGTCCACTGTCACTTCACTCTACTGCGCATGTCTCCTGTAGAAAAAGCCGCTGTCCTGCTGCAAATAGTGAAATATTCAGCTGAAAACAGTAATCAAGCAGCAGAAAGAAAGTTTGGAGTGAACGAGAAACTTGTGAGGGACTGGTGGAAAGCGGGGATGAAGACCACACCTTCACTGCAACCAGGAGGATGCACCATGAAACTTTTCTGGAAGTCACTGGATGGAATGGACAAAGCCTGGACTTCACTGACACCGAAACCATCCTGTCGGGATTCAGAAAGGCCAGAATAATTCTCACTGGAACTGATGCTGAGTTTGACGACAGGGACACAGAAGAGGAAGCGGCGCTCTGTTTACCTCATGAATCTATGGTTTATCTCCAGAGGTTGCTCAGAAGTGACACCGAGGATAAAGAATTCAGTGGTTTTGGTGATTTGGAGTGAGATCGTGAGTTTGTTAAACTTGTTCTGTTGTTTATGCTATAATTATCTGAATAACTGTTAATATGTTACATTAATATATTAACAGTTCACATATTCTGTTGTTTTTACTATAACTTGACTTTCAAGATGAAATGTCAGTTCCTGGTCTCTGATTTTACAAAATACATTTCCCCAAAAAGTGCGACTTATAGTCTCATGCGATTTATACATGTTTTTTTCGTCTTCTTTAAGCATTTTTTGGCTGGTGCGACTTGTACTCCGGAGCAACTTATAGTCCAGAAAATACGGTACTCTCCCCTCGGGAAGACTTCAAACTCTCCTCACACACACAAACAGGAGGCACAACAGCTTCTACCCATGAGCAGTGGATGAGCTCCAGGAGCACAGGCTCAGATAAAAGGCCTGAAGGGACTCAGTGCAATCATATATTTATTTATTTAATGTTTTTATTGGTATGGATGTGAGAATGTGTCTATATTTATTCATTTTTACTGCTACAGATTTGCTCTGTCAAAGTTTCGTTGTATTTTGTACAATGGCAATAAATCTAATCTAATCTTAAATTTCTTGCCCAAGGACACAACAACAGCATTCACCTATGGAAACAGG